ACAATGCAGGAAGGAGAGGGGGATGTGTATGTACAGCCAGCGAGGTGCAACAATGCAGGAAGGAGAGGGGGATGTGTATGTACAGCCAGCGAGGTGCAACAATGCAGGAAGGAGAGGGGGATGTGTATGTACAGCCAGCGAGGTGCAACAATGCAGGAAGGAGAGGGGGATGTGTATGTACAGCCAGCGAGGTGCAACAATGCAGGAAGGAGAGGGGGATGTGTATGTACAGCCAGCGAGGTGCAACAATGCAGGAAGGAGAGGGGGATGTGTATGTACAGCCAGCGAGGTGCAACAATGCAGGAAGGAGAGGGGGATGTGTATGTACAGCCAGCGAGGTGCAACAATGCAGGAAGGAGAGGGGGATGTGTATGTACAGCCAGCGAGGTGCAACAATGCAGGAAGGAGAGGGGGATGTGTATGTACAGCCAGCGAGGTGCAACAATGCAGGAAGGAGAGGGGGATGTGTATGTACAGCCAGCGAGGTGCAACAATGCAGGAAGGAGAGGGGGATGTGTATGTACAGCCAGCGAGGTGCAACAATGCAGGAAGGAGAGGGGGATGTGTATGTACAGCCAGCGAGGTGCAACAATGCAGGAAGGAGAGGGGGATGTGTATGTACAGCCAGCGAGGTGCAACAATGCAGGAAGGAGAGGGGGATGTGTATGTACAGCCAGCGAGGCGCAACAATGCAGGAAGGAGAGGGGGATGTGTATGTACAGCCAGCGAGGTGCAACAATGCAGGAAGGAGAGGGGGATGTGTATGTACAGCCAGCGAGGTGCAACAATGCAGGAAGGAGAGGGGGATGTGTATGTACAGCCAGCGAGGTGCAACAATGCAGGAAGGAGAGGGGGATGTGTATGTACAGCCAGCGAGGTGCAGCAATGCAAGGAGAGGGGATGTGTATAATCAGCCAGCAAAGTGCAGCGATGCAGGAAGGAGAGGGAGATGTGTATCATCAGCCAGTAAAGCAGGAGGGAGAGGTGTATGTGCAGCCAGCGAGGTGCGGAGAGCAGGATGTGTATGTGCAGCCAGCGAGGTGCGGAGAGGAGGTACAGCTAGTGTAGTGCAGCAATGCAAGGAGAGGGGATGTGTATGATCAGCCAGCAAAGTGCAGCAATGCAGGAAGGAGAGGGAGATGTGTATGATGAGCCAGCAATGCAGGAGGGAGAGAAGAGGGGGCTGTGTATGTACAGCCAGTGAGGTGCAGCAATGCAGGAGGGAGAAGAGGGGGCTGTGTATGTACAGCCAGTGAGGTGCAGCAATGCAGGAGGGAGAGAAGAGGGGGCTGTGTATGTACAGCAAGTGAGGTGCAGCAATGCAGGAGGGAGAGAAGAGGGGGCTGTGTATGTACAACCAGTACATACAACCAGTACATTCGGGGGCTGTGTATGTACAACCAGTGAGGTGCAGCAATGCAGGAGGGATAGAAGAGGGGGCTGTGTATGTACAGCCAGTGAGGTGCAGCAATGCAGGAAGGAGAGGAGATTGAAAACCTTAGGATGGTCCCAAAGAAGAATTACCACAGATCTGCACCAGAAATTAGAGTAAGCGCAGCTGAATCTGGAGCAGCACCACCATGTAACAAATTGACATGGGAGTCTTATTATTTTGTCACTGGAAGCACTAATTAAGCAGGGGTATAGAAGCTGGTGCATTTTTCAGTGTGCACCAGTCTCTGTAAACCCCCCCGCGGTGTCTAAATCTTTGTGTCACCTGAAAAATCCTCAGTCTGCTGACATTCTGGTACACATACACTTAATTGGCTCCTTTACACAGACACAAATACAGGCGTACAGCATAAGATACACCTGTATTTGTTGCGCCCAGGATCCTCAGTTGCTGTGATTTTGTGTCCGCAGGATTGTAAAAACAGAGTATGCTGAACACCGGTGGTTGCACATGTGCACGTATGAGCATAAGATCCTCATCGCAGAAGTTTCACATTTGGGAACTTACGCCATACGTGTGCAAATGCTGCCACTTGCGTTTACATGTGTATCCGCTCTATAGCATATTCTGTCCATATAGAATAGATTGTAAGCTCTCACAAGCTGGGCTCTTAATCTTATGATTTGTATAGTAACTGGTCTGCCTCCCAATTTATTAAAGCGGTGCACAAACTGTTGGTGCATTATAGATCCTGTATACAAACAATATTACCCGTGTACAGTGTATTCAGTCTATACAAGCCTGTGGACACAAAATCACAGCAGCTTGGGCTCCGGCGTATGTTACACTGAATGCCTGTGTTTGTGTCCATGATCCCTTACAACAGCGATATAACCTCCAACATGCTCTCTCTGCTAACAAAACATACCGGGACCAGCAATCCACTGCTATGCATAGGGCGCCAAGCCTGAACTACAATAGTGAAGGCACATTGAAGGTCCGCTCCTCATACTCACAATATCGGCACCCAGACAGCTGATCTTGTCTGGTTTTTTTTTTTTCAAATCCCCCCGCTGTTACCTCACTTCCGTTTCGTCAACACTATGCGACAGTTTGGAATTCGATTGGAATAGTCTGCTGTACGGCGTGTGAGAGTTCTGGCAGGCCATGTAGTCGATCGCGGCTGGAATCGTTGTGGAGCAGGACACGTGCGATCATCTACTCTTGTGGATTCTTTTTTTGCTCTCATTGAACTTCCTGTACAGCCGCTGACATCGTGAGTGCTTCATCTACGACACCTGCTGTGTATAATCCCACAAGATCAAACATGATCCATAGGACATAGCTCTGACCCTAAACCTCTCTCCTGCTGATTACAGTTACTTGGGGTTAATGGTTGTGACTAGACACATTACACTTGCCGGGGTGACTGATGAGGAAGTTGCAGAGAAGTTCAGGAGCTGAATACCCTGCACAGTTATGGAATGACAGTCTGGACGGGTCATGTGCATTTAGGAAAATGTTATACACATTTATTCATAAAAATCCGTTTTCAAATACAAATATTGTAAGAAGAGGCCCCGTAGAACTAATGTGCATTGGTGCTCATATATTAAACAATGTCCACAAAAGAAGCCATGGTGAAACATGGAAGGATATGCATAGCGTCCTTCCACCAGCCTATCTGTACTGCATGTTTTTCATCTTTGACCTCCGTTCATTCCACCTATGGATGTTTTCATCCAGGAAGTACAGATGAGTTATTCCAGACTGCTACTCCCCCCTCCTGGCGCAATCCATGCCCCTTTATGACTTATAGCGGCAGGGCTGGGAATGCACCTCCATGCAACTTATTGGGTCAGGAGGACGGGATGGCGGTCAGAGTTTTTAACGGGCTTGCACCAAGCCCAGCTTCATCACTAGTAAAGATGCATGTCTCAGGTGCAAGTTTCTGCACAGATGTGCATGCTGCACGGCTGTGCACATCCATGTGAATGAGGCCCAAAGCAGTTTTACTTACCTGATCCCGGCTCCCTTGGTTCCAAGACCAGTGCCCACAGCCTCTTTCCTTCTCTGCTGATATCATCATGTCTAACACAGGACCCATAGACCTGCGTTTAGATGTGAGTACACCAAGGGACAGGCCATGAGCTGGAGTTGAGGGGAGAGGTGAGTCCTGGGGGAGTGGGGATAAGGTAAGTAAAATTGCTTTACTGCAGTTCCCTCGGCATAAATGAAAATTGACCTCTTCCTGTGCGGGTAGTAGCCTTGCTCACCCCTACTGCAAAGTGAGAGTTTTTGTTTACCTGGAGATAGGGTTTAAAGTGTATTTCCACATTTGCCAAATTGGGATTGCATCTATTTTATATCTTTTTATATGTCCCTATTCACATAGCATTAAACAGGTAAAACTTGCTCTTTACCTTTTACTTGGCTAAAAATGTTAGTTTCCCTTTCTGTTTAATGTTAAAGGATAAGTTCACCTTTTGCGCCACTTTTGCAAAAATGAAAGAAATGCATAATTAACAGCCTCCCTGCCGGCCATTGTAAAAAAAAAAAAAACGACCGCCAGCTTCCTGGATCTGAGTGGCCGTCTAAAGACGGCCTGTTGGCCCCGCCAACTCGCACGAGCGGGAAACTGCCTAAATTTTAAAACCGGCAGCAATGCCTGTTTACATACAAGCGATAGCCCGGTGGATCGCTTGTATAAGGTGCAGTTTGTGCACCCCGCAGCCCCCCCTCCGCTGGTCCCGAACTCCGCTGTGCCCGGTGTGAGCCCGAGACCAGCATGGGGGCTCTGTGACAGGGGATCAGAGGGAGATCAGTACATGATCTCCCTCCGGTATCAGAATGCGGAAGTGATGTATATTATGTCACTTCCACATTCTTGTGTCACTCTCCAACATCAGAAGCTGATGAAGCAGATCTCTGCTTCATCAGCTTCTTTGGGGGGTCCTAGGTGACAGGGGTCTTGGAAACCCCTGATGTCTCCATGAAGAGGACCTGTCACATATTTTGCTATCACATAGTGGTTTTCTTTGCCTCCTATGTGATAACAATAACGTTATAAGTGAAAAAAAAAATTAAGTCACATGAAAAAGAATGAAAAAAACCCCCCAAAATTTTTAAAAGTCCCCACCCATACATACATGTGTGCAAACATGCGTCGGGTGCGCATACTTGCGAAAATGACTATTGCGCCCATTACGCCACACATTACATATCGCCACAAACGTCGGAGTGAGAGCAATAATTTTAGGGCCATTGCTCACTGATAACACTAAACTGATGAGTAGTTAAAGGTTTTAAAACGTCGACTATGGCCAATTTTGGGTATGGTAGTTTTTTTGCGATTTCGCAGGTGCGTGCAATTTTAAGGCTTGACATGTTTGGTGTCTATTTACCTGACGTGACCCCGTCTTTTAGATTTTACCAAAAAACTGGGTAATAATAATTGTTTCCTAACATAATGTAAAAAAAAATGTTTTTCCTTTTTTTTCCACAACATTTTCAGTAATTTTTCTTTAATATAGTAAAAAATAAAACCCCCAGTGGTGAATAGATACCACCAAAATAAAGCTCTATCTGTCCCCAAAAAATGGTATAAAATTATTTCAGCACAGCGTTGCATGACGGAATAAATGTCAGTCAAAGTACCGCAGCGCTTTAATAACTGCATTCAAGCCTGGAAAGCATTGCAATCAGGATCACCCGATCACCGCTGCAAATCTCAGGCTTCTGCATATTTTAAAACTTTTAGAGCTCGTACGGAGGGACGGAGTTTGAGTTAAGAGAGATGGGGGGAAGGACGGCTGGGCTTCAAACTGCAATAAATCACCTCATAGGCGTCCAGCCGTCCTCCCACTATGTAGAGCTCCCCATATTCCCGCATCTACCTAGTGGGAGGACGGCTGGCCTGCATCATTTTCTGATACAGCACACCACAACGCATGGTAGTGCATTACTGTGCATTGTGGTGCGCTGCAGGCATGTGTGTCGGGGTGCAATTCAACATGATTTTCACTGGATAGTGCTCATTCATTTAACATGTTAGCATACTGCAACGCGCCGGAACAGATAAGTGTAAATGGGCTCTAAAATATATCTAAAGCCAAACCCTTTTTTTATTTGCAGATAAGAGTTTTACCCTCGTAAGCGTACAGATTTGCCATTTGTATCCTATTAAGATTTCTCTTCACATCTTGCCCTGTACACATAGCAGGAAGTGAGAAGACATGTCCAAAAATGGAAAGGAAGACAGTTGTCACCAGAACAGGTATCACCAGAACAGGACAGTTGTCACTGGAACAGAAGTAGATATCCCCTGTATTCCTTTTCTGATGACAACTCAAAATTTAGGATTTTCCCTCATTTTCTGTCTGGTAGACAGTGGTCACAAATCTCCCTAGTGGGGGCATATTACTGCAAGGTTCTAACCCTTCACCCTCTATCCAAAATAAATAAATAAAAAAAGTTTTGGCTTTATATACTTTAACTCAGGGCTGCAAATCCCAGGAGCCAGGTAACCAATGCTCTTTGAAAGTTTTGAGGTTTCTTCTAGTTTTTGTCAATGGAGCTGGCTCCTAAAATACAACTCTGCAGGATTGGGCAGACTGGTTCCTGAACTCCATATACATTTGTCCACCCCGGATTTAACTGCTGTGGTTCATTTTCCAGCCATGTTAATTTTGGAGGGGATACATATTCCAGTTACATTAGATGATAATGTTTATCCTTTTTACAGGTCTGTAGCATAAAATGAGTCAGAAAACCACAAAGCAACATAAAAGGCCACACAGTGATGGAGAAAACCAGACAAGCAAGAAGAGGAATGTTCAGCTGGAGACACCAGAAATGAATGGCTTTGCCATACACAGAACCAAGGTGAAAATGTATTGAAAACATATCCACTATATGGTAAATGTTTACTAGTAAAACAATGCATCATAACAGTAAGCGTATGGCAAAAAAACCCAACCATATGCAGTATATTTCTGCAATACATGACCGCATGCTTTATCGCTTTAAAGATCCTGCAAGTAGAGTCTTCTGTTTTGCACTTAGGTGTAATATTTGTGTTCTGTTTCATTTCCAGAAAGCACTGAGATTATCCCCAGCATTGTTTAGTGATACCTGTGAAATTCAGCATGGGTCTTTGCATCAACTCATCAAATATGCTGTTCTAGGAAAAGAGCATACAACACAGGCAAGGTACATCAAGAAGGATTTTGATGCCCGTGCTTAGACAGCGTAAATGTAACAATATTTCCATCATCTTTTCATTCAGTCAATTCTGTCTGGACAGCTCACTGTATGGGGAAATTGATATCAAAGTGACACTAAACTCAGGAGTTAAACCTTAAAAATGCATTCAAGTACCATAACTATTATCAGAAATCTGACTTATTTGTGTATCACTCAGCTGTATAACCTCAAATAATCTCTGAATGCATGCTGACACTGTCCATTCTTCTGGAGGGTGGCTACTTTTGTTCCACATGGTCCCTATGTGTGTTGTAAAGTATCCACCGCTCCAAGCTCGCTCTCATGATGGACTACAATCTCAATACAATACAATACAATACGTGAAATTTAGTCTTATCACGGGAGCGAGTTCGGAACTCCTTCTGCTGTCAGTCAAACTGTTGGGAGAGGAGGAGGGGCATGGCCTGCCGCATGCTGTTTGTGTCTCTATGGACGCACACAGCTACTTGCGGGCACACTGGGAATGCAGACACACAGGTGTCTCCACAGCAGCAGCTTGGCTGATGGAGACACCCTGCAGGGGGCGGGAGGGAGAGCGATGTGGGGACCCACTAGGGAACAAGGAATTAGAATATTAAAAAAAAAAAAAAGAACCAAGCATCTGCATCCCATGTGGACCTCCTATGCATAAAAAAAAGCTAAAGGTTTAATGTCCCTTTGTGGCTGGACGTACAGTGTACGTCTCCCGTCACGAAGGGGTTAAAGGATAATTAAAGCATCATGTTTTTTTTGCATATATCTACTGCTAGCAAGCAATAGTTATATGCAAAAAAAGATCTGAAGATTCTTGGGCGGCTGCAAAGGATCATGGGGCGGGCGCATGCGCAGTTGAGATCTTCGGCCGGGAGAAGAGGAGAGACACAGAGTAAGTCAATGTATGCAGCGTGCACCCGCACAGACACAGAAGACACAGCAGTCAGTGTTGGATCAGAGACAGGCACCAGCGATGGAATGACTCCTGAAAACTACTGGAAAGAAGAAGATCGGATTAAGAGGCATCATTTAAGGTAATTTCTTACACCAGCACACCAGCATTGGTGGGGTTGGGGATTTAGGCTTTAATGTCACTTTAAAGTACTTGAATGCATGTTTACAAGTTAGTAATTCCTGAATTTAGCACCAGTTGAAATATTTTACCTCCAGCATCCCATGGTTGAGTCCTTTCCTGGTTCAGATCTGCTAAGGTATAAAATGTGGAGGATAGACTACTCAAAATAACACACACACACAATGACTTTGGCAATCAATATACATTTATTACCTTTAGACAAATCTTAGTAAATGTTTTTAAAATAGTTTTCCTTTCTTCAAGCTGGTGTAGCATTCATCATCAAAAGCGTCTTCACGGTGTTGTTGTCATTGTGTTGGAGGATCTGAGTCAACACCATTTTTACCAGTTTTATATGCACTTGCGTTGTCTCCGGAAACTGTTCCAACATGTAAGTATAGACCTACAATAGGCCTACAGGCTACTTGCAAACAGCTGAAATATATTACTTACTTGAATCTGGGTATGCTTTGTGTATTTCTTCTAGATCTGTGTGGTAATCTAGTGTGAAACTTTGCCCCTGTGCAGAAGTTGCCTATGTTAAAGACCAGTTGCTGCTGCTATTTCTCTTTGTGCAGGGTGACTGGTCTGGAAACTATTTAAATGAAAGTTGTTTTTGTTAGATAAAAAGAAACTGCGCTAGGAATCAAATAACACTCTAAGAGCAGCTGTGCTTAATAGGTGAGTACACCCCAAATTAGGAAAAAAGAAAATAGCACTGCGCTTCAAACTCAAAAATTATATTCCTAAAATGTGAAAAAAATAGTATAAAATGTGAAATTGTCACAAAGGGATACACAATTTTGTGTCATACACAATGCCTGTGCTGATGATAGTAAAAAAAACAAAAACAAACGTGCTAGTACTTTTCATAAAATGTGTACATATAGAAAATCCTGTGTTGAATCTCACAACTGATATATAACTCCCACCTAATCTACATAACCATGTGTGAAGTCCATTACTTCTGGATACAATAAAGTCCTTGAAATATGTGAGGATGTGAGGATATATTGCTTTTATAATCAACACCAACGTCCGTGAATGCAAAAACAATTAGTGAATCAGTGCTCTCCAGTCTCCACCGTGCTCAAAGATAAGATTTGGCCGCACTCACCGACTCCTATTGCTCACCATATTTCAGATGAACAATTACTGCTTTGTTGATATATAGAACCAAATCCTCTCCTTTGTTTTTAATCCGACAATAAATTGGGGTAGATTCCTCCTAACTCTGGCTTATCTTTCCAAAATCGTGTAACACTATTCCTCCATCTTCCACCTTCTCTTGTGCTCAGAGAGAGAAAAAAAGGCTTCCCATAGTGTAGTATGTCAGAATAAATTTATTTAAAACGATTAAAATGCACTTACAATTAAATTAAGGCAATTGCGTATGGATTGTGTCCACTGGAGCTCCTGTCTCTATGATCGTAATGCTCGCATAGATCCGCCCACCTGATGCATTTCGCCACACCATCCTCTATATCAGGGGTTAAAAACAAATGAGAGGATTTGGTTCTATATAGATCAGCAAAGTGCTAACTGTTCATCTGAAATATGGTGAGCAATAGGAGTCGGTGAGTGCGGCCAGATCTTATCTTTGAGCACGGTGGAGACTGGAGAGCACTGATTCACTAATTGTTTTTGCATTCACGGACGTTGGTGTTGATTATAAAAGCAAGAAGATATATCCTCACATACAAGGACTTTATTGTATCCAGAAGTAATGGACTTCACATATGGTTATGCAGATTAGGTGGGAGTTATACATCACTTGTGAGATTCAACACAGGATTTTCTATATGTACACATTTTATGAGATGTACTAGCACGGTTGTTTTTTTTTTGTTTTTTTTTTTTACTATCATCAGCACAGGCATTGTGCAACACAGGTGTTGTGTATGACACAAAATTGTGTATCCCTTTGTGACAATTTCACATTTTATACAATTTTTTTTCACATTGTAGGAATATAATTTTTGAGTTTGAAACGCAGTGCTTTTTTCCAAAGTTGTTTTTGTGCCTGACGTTCAGCTTTCAATTCTCAATTAAAACGTTGGTAACGTTTTCAATCGTCGATTTTAATCGACTAAATCGATTAACTGTTGCAGCTCTACAATTACTTGAAGAGCTCTGGGCACTGCTGAAATCTGATTCCCCAGGTGTGTCCGATAGCGTTTTCTCCACTGGCTACTGCACCACTCCTGAATGCAGGTCTAATGCAACCACTTGATAATGCAGCTGTAATGTTCTCCAAACATATCCCCCATGTAAATATTTCTGCCCCTTTTGGACAACCTTTTCCTGTATGTCAAGCTTCAAAGAATTTTGCATTAACAGCAGAACATTTGCAGCATGGTCCACGGATTACTCAGTGGTTTTAAATGAGCAATATACAGCTGGGTGTAATAGGCGGAAGCAATTGTAGTATACGCTGTACTAAATACACCTTAGATTACTTGTAAATGGTCAGGCTAGATGGAGATACATAAGAGTAGAGACACGCCATGCGTGCTGATTGATTCGTGCGTGGTGGTTTCTGAGCAAGACTAATGATTGCCTCTAAATGTATATTGTGTGGTGTAATTTATAACACCTACCGCTCTCCTTTTGTATGGAAACAACTTTCAGAAAGGTAAGATTTTTATAAGCCAAAATAAAACTGGAAAGCCTTGTTATCCAGAGGATCCCAGTTTTCACTGACACACTTTGGTATTATACCTAATAGGGAGGCACCGAAATTTTGGCCTGAAAATGGCACTTTTGCCAAAATGCCTAAAGTGCCATGACAGCCGAAAATTCAGTGTATCCCTAGCTTCTCTTCTCCCCGCTGGGCGCTGGTCTGTGTGCCTTCTGATGCAGCGCTGGTGCCCAGCAGGGAGGAGAGATGGTTTCAGGGTGCAGTGACAGCTGTCATCATTGCGGGAGGCCGAGCTCTCCTCCCACAACTCCCGGTTCTGCCTCCTGTGTCAGGATGGAGAGCGGTGCATGGCGGTGATAGCTGTGATCTGTCACAGGAGGTGGAGCTCTCCTCCCACACCTCCCGGTTCTGCCTCCTGTGTCAGGATTATTTTTAGGTTTTGTCCTTAGACTCGGCACTTGACTCTTTTCCTTTAGTTGCTGTGGGTGTAATAGGTGAAGAAAATGGTATCATGGTACAAGTTCTAGTATTATAATGGGTGATCCGAATAAGGTGTTCTCATGTCACAGGGCAGATATAACAAGAATAATTCCGATATTTAGAATTGTAATGTAAGGTTTCTCTTTTCTTTCCATGTGTATCTACATAAAGAGGTTCAGCTTGCCACCTCCTCCAAGGGACTTTGTTGCTTCCCTTGTTGGCCTGGAACTTGTTGATGACAAAGCCAGGGCAGAAGAGCAGACAGGTCTAAATCATCTGCACAGCAGCTTGAATGGTAAAGCATGATCTAATATTCCTAAATGTTTTTCTTCCAAGGGTTTTCTATGCACAGAGCAAAGTACATATATACAAATTATTTGTATTCATTTGTTTGCTGCATTACAATAGGCACTATAGCATTTAATGTGTATTTCCACTTTTGCAGCCAGGTTGGAATAACACCTATTTATATTTGTTACATGTTCCTCCAGAATGCAAAGGGGTGGAGAGATTGTCTCTACTGTGCTGGCAGATAACAATTGTAAACTAGATTTGTACACTGTCTGTCCTAACAAAGGGTTAAAGATCTAGGAGCATGGTATGTTAATGAGGGGGGGTCATTGTGTCCCTAGTCTTTCTATGGCTGTGGGATGCAAACTTTGACCTTCCAGTTGTGGTGAAACTACAAATCCCTTGAGGAATTGCACAGGCATGACTTCCAGAGGCAGATACATGATGAGATTTGTAGTCTAGGGCTGCAACAACTAATCGACATAATCGATTATAATCGATTATTGAAAAAGTTGTCAACTTTTTTAATCGTCGATTAATCGGCTTCTGGTTAGTTGGCCCTGTTCACGTGCCGCACCTCCTCCCCACCTCACGCTCGCCGCTGCCAGACCCGCCCACATCCACGCTCCACACCTCCTCCCCGCATCACGCTCACCACCCTCCCACATCCACGATTGGCACAGGGACACGGGGAGAAGAAGTAAGGAGGAGCAGGTGTGGGGGATGACAATTGCCGATAGACAGGCCCGATCTCAGAAGCAAGTTGCTGGAAGACTCACATGGTGCTCTATAATGTATTGCTGGGATTTGTATTCCTCTGTAGCTGATGGTACATTGTGCTCTATATTTTATACAGAGGATACAAATACCAGCAATAGTACATTATGCACTACATATATACTGTACTATTGCTGAGATTTGTTGTTGTTTCCCTCTAGCTGGTGGTATTCTGCATTGCGCTGTATAATATATTATTGCTGGGATTTGTATTCCTCTGTAGCTGATGGTACATTGTGCTCTATATTTTATACAGAGGATACAAATACCAGCAATAGTACATTATGCACTACATATATACTGTACTATTGCTGAGATTTGTTGTTGTTTCCCTCTAGCTGGTGGTATTCTGCATTGCGCTGTATAATATATTATTGCTGGGATTTGTAGTCCTCTATAGCCGCTGCCATGCTGCATTCATTGCTATATCATTTTACACTTTATTGCACACCACTTTTTTTTCCTTATTTACTTCCACCGCTCCAAGCTTGCTCCTATGATGGACTGCAATCTCAATACAAGCTAGTAGTCCATCACTGGAGCAATTTTTTAAAATGTATTTTATTTTTTATCCGATTAATCGAACTCAATAATCGGCTAACTAATCGATTTTGATATTAATCGTTAGCTGCAGCTCTATTGTAGTCTCACCACTGCTGGAGGGCAGGAGTTTGCCTACCCCTGTTCTATGGGGATGCCAGAGTCAGCGGACCATATTCAATGGGGATGTGGTACTGGGGTTTTTGGGACAGCAAGGAACTGACACCTGGGACTCTGGACACTGGGCTCCTAGGAATAGAGTAAACGCATGTTTAGTATGGGTGTGATAGAGGTGCAGAGTCTAAGGAGCGCCAGGTCTCCACCAGAAAAACAGCAAAAAGGTTTCCAGGCACACTTGCCAGCATGCAAAAAACCTGTCTAACCACTAAGGTTAAAAGCAGAGGTTTAGATACACGTCTTCTGCAGAAAATGTGAAAGCTGCACAGCCGCGCCAAGGCACCTCCATATAGTGCGGTCATAACTCTAATCTATGAGAGTCTCCATCTTGGAGCACATGGGGCAAAAGATTAAATTGGGTGCAGGTTTGTCAGGAGGAAGCCCAATCTCCCTTAAAGGTATAGGTGTGCACAAGGGACCCCGCACATCACAACGGCATCTGAGATCCCCCATGCGTCACTGCACCAAATCAGTCAAACAAAACAAATGGCAAACGCATTCATCAATTTGTTACCGGCTTTACAGCAGAGGGCACACAGAAGGACTTCAAACAGTAAAACAGCAAAAAGTTTCCAGGCACACTTACCAGCCAGCATGCAAAAAAACCTGTCTAACCACTAAGGTTAAAAACAGAGGTTTAGATGCACGTCTTCTGCAGAAAATTTGAAAGCCGCACAGCCACGTCAAGGCACCTCCATATAGAGTCCCCCGCAAAGGAAGACACAGCTGACAGAACTATAGAGGAATTGAAGAAACCAGTTGCAGCATTGACACACTAGAGAGTTGCAGCACTGGGATACTGGATTCATTGACACTTAGGGAAGGAATCTGATTCCACACGGTACGTGATAACCCTGCACTTGTAGAGGATACATTGGAGAGTTGCAACATTGGGATTCAGGGTTCAGTAACATACAGGGAAGGAGTCTGATTCCACACACAGTTCATGATTGCGGACAGCCTGAGTTTCTTTCACTTTGAAATTGTAAAGAGAAACTTGTAGTCTGTCCAAACAGAAGCAACTAAAAGGTAACATTTTTTTTTTCTACTAGTATGCTACGTAAATGGGAATGCATAAAAACATATAGCGGGGTTTTCTTAAAGGAGAACTATTTGAGTGAAAAGCACTCACCTCATAGTTCTCCTTTTAAGTTTGAATACAAAAGTGGAAAACCACTACAGCAGGGGTGCCCACTATTTTTCGTCTGGAGATCTACTTTTCAAATGACGAGCTCATTGAGATCTACCAACGAAAAAACACCTGCATTCAGGTGGGAGGGGGCGTAACGGTGCATTGAAGTCAATGGCACCGCAGCCAGGCTCCGCAGGCAGGCCCCGCAGGCAGGCTAATTGAGGATTTGGTGTCCTCAATTTCTTTTCTATTTTAAAAGGGAAATGTCAGGGGTCTGTTTTAACCCCCAATATTTCCCAAAGCCCCCCCCCAACAGTAAAAAATTAATGTGTGGTCACTGAGGGGCGCTGTAAAGCTTTCTCGCACAGGGCGCCTAAAGGCCTAAGGCCGGCCCTGACTGACATGTACCGATCCTCTGCCGCTCGAGCACGCACAAATGGGCTCAGCTTCTCCTCTGCATCCCCCCTGCTCTCCCGGGCAGAGGCAGCAGGGGATCCGACGAGAAGTGAAAGAGCACTTCAGCTGGGGGGTCGGAGCCGCTTTGACAGAACGGACAAGCAGTGAGGGGAGAGAGAGGCGCCGGCTGTCATATCCTGGCCGAGCGTCTCTCTCTCTCTCTCTCTCTCTCTCCTCACCGCTCTGCATTAGTTCTGTGACAGCGGCTCCGTCCTCCGCCCTCCCCCGCCGCCGGTTCCTTCACTTCTTCTCGGATCCCCGCCGGGGAGAGCAGCGGGGATCCAGAGAAGCGGCGGGAGGAGAGGACATGGCGATCTACCAGTGATCGCTACGCGATCAACTGGTAGATCGCGATCGACCTTGTGGGCACCACTGCACTACAGGGTTCATTTTGCCAAAAAATGGGTATCGTTTATTATAGAGCAGTGAGACAAAACATTGATGAAGACATATATTTTAGACTCAGGCAAGATATTTCTATAACATCCTAAAAAGTTAAATTATCCATCACCAGCCTATCAATGGTCACACTTAGATTCTGTCACCAAACATTTACATAATGTCCAGCCTGATGTATGTGTCTTGAGTACTTTTCATAAACCTCATAAAAGTTTTTTAACGTTTGGTATAGGAATACAAATGGGTATTTGCCCTCCCAACAACTGTACTGGCAGGAAGGCGTCTAGAAGATGTCTGTGACCTGAATTGTTCAGTAGAGGTGCCTTTGGGTAGTCTTTAGGAAAACCTCCACACATTGCCTTGCTTCTAGGCCCCTTTTTATGTTTTTGCCTCACTTGGCATCCCAGCTTCACATTAATTAGAATAAATACAATCACAGATCTACTGCTTTTCGCCTGTTTAGACATAAGTGGCCCTCTTTGGGGTATTGTATTATGAATCAGAGTGTCAGAGATTGGCATGTTCAAATTAAAAGTAAACTAAAGTCAGACAAAAGATAATCCACAGGGAACACAGCTCACATTCCAGAACTGGCTTGCATTACGATTGCATCCTAGGTGCAGGCAAACAAGTGCGCTGTTGCCCATAGCAACCCAATCCAGAAATAGCCGCACTCCTAAGGTCTTCACCAAAATAAAAATATTTATGGAGTAAATACATGGGGGGAATTTATCAAATCTGGAGCAGATTTGCACTGCAACCAATCAGCTTCTATCTCTAATTTTCAAATCCCAACTGAGAAAACTGAAGAGAGAAGCTGATTGGTTGCCACAGGCAACTGCTCCTGTTTCTGTCTGCTCCAGTTTTGATAAATTCCCCCCCTGTTTGTTTCTCCCCATGTGTGCTTAACCATCAACACGTTTCACCATTCCTGCTTCCTCTCACTTTCTATGAGTAAGCCGAACATGTGCCCACATGGGGAGGAGCAAACAGAATATGTTTACTCCATAAAGAAAGATTTTTAGACCTTTTAAAGTGTGGCAGACAAAAGGCACAAATTAATGCAGCTCTATAATCATTACTATAACTTTGAAATTTATTTTTTGAATGCAAGCAGTGTTACTACCCACATTTTACTTGTAATTAGTCCTTGTATAGCTGAGCTCTGGGGAGGGAGAAGCACAAGGAGCCCATCAGTTGTGTCACTGTGCAAGGAGCATGTTGAAAGGAAGAGAGAGCAGAGTGATAAAAAGTCAAAGCTCATCAGTGTACTGCTTCTCCTTTCACTGTCATTTCACAAAGTGGAGGTTGGAGGAGACCTGTATGTGAAAGTAAAACTGCATTAAAGAAAGATCAGGTCCCCAACCCTGCTAGGCAGGGCTCTGCTGTGTGGTAAAATTTGTGTGACAGGATAGAAATCCATGCAAGTTCTTTTGGTTAGTTAAACTAGCCTTTTTGTTCTGCTTACCCATTATCACCAGTCAGAAGGAATGACATGACCATGATTCTTTCTTCACATACATTTCAAGAACAGGGAAATTGTTCCAATGGGGACACTTGTGAGAACCTTCCTTTGTCCAAACCTAGAAAAACAGTGTTGGCTGGAGTTCTCTTCACATTTCAACCCCCTGGCATTCCACCTAATGAGATGTAGGGGTTGATTTACTAACCTTATAAACACACCACGAACATGTATACACCTCTGTAGTGTGTTCCCTCCCGGCATGATCTATGGGGGGAATCTAAACACCGTTGTAGTGTGTACACACCCAGCAGGTGTGTTGTGCAAACCCTGCATGAATTTGCAAGGAGGTGATGTGTAAATTAGCTCTATGTTGTGTTGCTTGCGTTGATGAATGCAGGAATGTAAATGCATGAGCTAACCATTTTTGTCTAAACTGTGAAGCAGCATTATATATGCATCATGTGCATGATTTTTCCATATATGGCATTAGTGGAAATATGCTTTTAGAGACTTTTTGGTTGATAAATACGTTTTGCTGTGTAAAAATCACACGCACCTAGTGCGTGCGTGTGTTTTAGGTTAGTAAATCACCCCCGTAGAGTGCTTGATGTGACTGGAAGTGTTCACCATGTTTGATTGCCCAGAACTTTCTTTGTTTTAGATCCTGTTAATAAGCTCAATAGTTCTTCAGCAACCAAATATAGTCTGGCATGTGACCCCATCCTACGGAAATATGGAAAGGAAAGGCAAGGACTGACAAGGTATCTACTTTCTGAAGAAGAGATGAGGAAAAATGATTATCCATGTATAGGTCAGTTTTCATCCCTAAATGTCTCCACATTCAGTCCCAGTGTACATGATACCTAGTTCTTAAAGTGAACCTTTGCTTTGCCCATGCAGAGTAAAGCAACAGGTATATTTTAGTGGCAGTATCACAAGCAACTTATATTTACCTTTCCCTTGGCTCCCCACTGCTCTGTTTGGCTGCCAAAATTAAGGAACAATACCCGGTAATTTTTGGGAATGTGACAACTGGTGCTTGATGAATGGGTGCTCAGATACTTTACTGTGACAGAAATAGGGTTGACAGAAATTCCTCATCCTTGTGTCATGAATTGGAGCTTACACAGGGTTACTTTTTTTTTTTTTACTGTAGGTGGTTAAACAGTGTGGCTGGGGAGTAAAGGGAATAGAAGTACTGTATATGTGCAGTTGAGTTGATAGGGCCATTTTTAAAGAAAATTGTTGTTTTTTTCTGCATGGGCAAATCTTAGGTTCACATAAAAGCTGAACTCTGTCCAGATCACAGAACTTTGCAGCCATTTAACTATATTTAGATAGAACTGAGAGAGTTGATTGCCATCCCTCTGAGCCAACCTCAGCTTATTGCTTTAACGTTTCTATGATTCAGCAGCTTGAGAAGCGAGCACATGGATAACCTGAACAGTGTGTGTTGTTTTTCCTTCACTGTCTATTGAAAGAGTGAGGGCAGGTTGGTGACCAAGCTGTGCTACTTAACTGCAGCTGATAGAATTGAGGTCACCAATTTTATTATGGTGTGTGACTAGGATGCGTAAATTACAGGACTGGCCAAACACAATTTCAACTGGCAGGAAAAACAGTTAATGTATACAGTGTGTATTTCAGCGGTGTATGTAGCTATAGAGTTTAGTTTTAATATAGAATCCTCCTGTTACACTACTTAAATTTGCAGATGGTTATTTCCACTTGGATTTTTAAATTGATGTCTGATAATTTATGACATGATGAATCCCATGAGTATGGTTGTTTGCCTAAAACATTACAGCTGATACACTTGTTTGAATTTTTCTGTTGTGGCCGTCAGTAGGGCTTATTTTATTTTTTCCACCCTTAAATAAGCCCACTGAGTCCTGTATTGGTCTTCGTAGCTCCTGAACTCTGCATTCATTTATAGTGTAAATAATCTACCTATATTCTTCACAGGCTCCCCGGATACAGAGAACTATGTGCACTCAAACTGCATGGAGGAACCTACTGACAGCAGTCCTTTATTTGGTTTGGATTGTGAAATGGTAAGCGACAAAACCACTATATACCAGTAAATATGGAACTGTGCATCATGATTGCTTTATAGCACTACTGCTGTATACTGTTGCCTCTACTGCTGTTTATGTTGTTATCCGTTATGGCCGTGGATCTTTGCAGCATGATTTTCCACAAATAGTTATGCCTGACCAGTATTAAAAATTTTATGATTTATATTATGCAATTGACAGCAACATTTTAATTGACATTGTTGTTGTGATTCACATTTATAGCGGATCACCCCCCACTCCCCCCAACCTTTTTTACTTAACCGCCAAAATCAATAAAAATTAATGTAGGAAAATAAATATTATTGTTATTTGCCTCTTTTAGTGTATATTCTCAATAATCTTATTTCTTTGTCCCACCAATTTTGAAAACCTGCGCCACCATTTTCAAAATATGCATCATTAGTGACTGGCCTCTTTTATCTGGTTCTCTATGACAGCTCACCGAGGACGTCCAGGACAAAATCTAGCGCATATTTATTATGTTTAACTGTTGCCATGATTTTAGCATCATTACGCCACCTGACACTCTTGTTTTTGAAGCCATAATAACTTGTATCTAATAGATTTAGATTGTAATCTCTGACAGGCACGGCCCTCCTTACCATATTGTCTTTATTTGTATTGTAACTGTAATGTCTTCTCTATATTGTAAAGTGCTGCGCAAACTGTTGGCGCTATATAAATGTATCCTGTATTTAAAAAAATCTTTCTAGTTTTCCCTCTCCCCTTTCTGGTTCCTGCTTGTCTCTTCGTCCTCTTTTTCATTTTCTCTTTAAAGGAGAACTATGAGGTGAGTGCTTTTCACTCACCTCATAGTTCTAGCCGACCTGTGACAATGAGACTGTCACAGGTTGGCTCAGTAGATCGGGAAGTGAGCGAACACATACCGGCATTCGATCACCTCTCGATCCTGTCACGGCTCTCTGCCGTTACAGGTGAGGAACTGGATTCCCCCCTCCCCACTCCGATCTGCCAGCGCTGACTGGCGGAACGGACGGGGAGGGGGCGGGTACAGCTGGCTCTGCCTCTAGATAGGCAGAGCCAGCTGTCAGTCAAGCAGCTGGGCGGATCCTGGCACAATTGTCGGGATCCGCTTCAGCGTCTCAGTATACTGAGCCTAGGGTGACAGGAAGACGCTAGTTTGTGTCCTCCCATTACCCTAAGGAGAACTATGGGGAAAAGCCTTAACCCCATAGTTCTCCTTTAATTAGTATGGAGGGGTGCTTTCTATTAGCTTTAATTCTTGCATATGTTGTTTCTGCAGTCTTGTGACATGATTGCCTTGTGATTTTCCTGTCCTTATCCCCTCAATGTCCCTCATTCCGTGACATTTTGTACATATTTGTATTTTGTTATCTTCATATTTTTGTGCTTTTATTGTTTAAAAAAAAAATGTTAAATAAAGAATTTATAAAAAAAAAAATATTATTATTGACAAACCATGATAGATCACCAAAGACGCATACGCAAACCCCGGAGCTGCATGTCATCTGTGCATAAAAAAATAAATAGTTCAGCCCCCAGAGTTCCCTGAAAGTCACTAGTTACTACACCAGTGTCTTGTTAAAAAAAACAGAGGTACTAAAAGTAAAGGTTTACAGAGATAACATTAACTTTACATATGGCTATAAAATTATTACTGTTCAGCATGCAATACTGCTTTTTCGGATTAAGGGCGGTTCTTCGCTTTAATATGAGGTTAAAAGAAATCTAAACTCAAAAACAAAAATGTCATATACTACAGCTTACCAATCCTTAGATGCTGAGGCTGCGTTGTTTCTTGCTAGGGTGACAACATTTACTCAGTGTAATGTATCTGTGGAAGAGCAACACTGCCAGCCTAGACTGCTCTCCTGATTTGGACTGCAAACACCTTCCCCTACTGTTTTTAAAAAGATAGGTAGGAGGGGTTTTGTACTTCACAGAGGATAGCTGGGATGGATGGTAACATTGTTTGAGATTTCAGTTTAGTGCAAAAAAAGTCCCAAAGATATTGCTTTTTTGTCAGGATAAACAGGATTTTGTCTGTACTTGCAGAAAATGTGCTTAGCCTTAAAAAAATAAATCTAATGCAGTTATCACCAGTCTAAGGACTGCTAAGCAATATATAAAATGTATGTTCTTGGGTTTAGATATTCTTCAAAGGGCTATTTTCTCTGGTGCTGACATTCTGACATAAAAACAAATCTTTTTACAGTGTTTGACCTCTAAAGGGAGTGAGCTGACAAGAGTCTCTTTGGTGGATGCCAGTGGTTGCTGTGTTATGGACGAACTGGTAGTGCCTGACAATCCCATTCGGAATTACATGACCAGGTATTTTTGTCTGTCAGATGATCTCTATACCTAAAATGCAAAAAGCAGCTAAAATAACTCCCAGTAATCACAAATATTTGTGTAGATATTCCCAACTAAAAAAACACATATGAAATAATGACTGAAGGGGCTATCTATCTATTCTATTAGTTTTGATGTTAAGGAGTCTATTTCTGTTGCTCAGTGCCAAAGAAACAAAATGAAATGCACTCTGATTCAATGTTTTATGACATGAAAACCCAAGTGAGTGAATACTTTGTTTATATACTACTTGCCAAACATTTTAGTACATTGTTTTTTCATTTATTATGAAAATGTATGCACTTTAATGTCTCAGTGCACTCTGATGTTCAAGCATAAAACAGATATTAGAAATGCAAATCTCGAAAATGTTGTGCTGAACAACTTGAAATCCTAATTTTCGAGCCATCGAAGTAACCTTTTTCAGATATAACAGTTACACACACTTGCAGCATTCTTTCTACAATGGAAACCATATTGTAAGAAAGTTCTTCAGCACAGATGCAGAAGTTCCCACAAAAGTGTTGTGGTTGCAGATTTTTTGCCTTCACAGTTCTGTCCAGTTCCTCCCAAACTACTGAAGGTTATAGAAAATAGGACGCATACACTACCACTTTATATCCATGAAATTAGAGTTAGGTGTTCCATATTTGGTGTCAAATATTAGAACCTCCTCAGGGAGTGTGCAGAGTTACCGTGTTTTACTTAAACCTCAGATGTGTAGGGTTTGGAGTTCTCTTTACTATTGGAGTGTTCGTTTAGAAGTGAAGCTAATTTGTTGCTGTCACTGATCGGCCAAAATATTTCCGACCAGCTTCTTCAATTTTCTTATTGAAAGATGCCTAAAGGAAGGGTGCTGACAGGGCCACCAACTGAACGAATTTCATCTGGTTCATCAAGAACGGTCTGAAATTCATAGTGTATCAGCAGCTTTCGGCTCTCTGGAAAAAAGGTTGTGGGTGCCTATGAGTTTTTATTTGAAATCATTATACCGTACAGAATAAAACTACGCGTGGCATAGATATAAAATGGCTACTTATTTGTCAAGGACTGGCTTGGCAAGCATATTGAGCCCCAGTGCTGACCATTTGATCCTTAAATAAGTCTCTAAGAACCCCAAAATATAATTGTAGGATTTGCAAGTACGTACAACAGTTGGTGTCAAAGTGCATGCATCTATGATCAGAAAAAGTTTGCACCAATTTAACTTGCATGGGAGGTGTGCCTTCGCTGTCCACAAAAAGGAAAAACATGAGAGCAAGACTACAGTTTGCCATTGAACATATAGGCAAAGACCAGGCCTTCTAGAGCAATATGCTGTGGACTAAATGAAACATAAATAGAGTTGTTTGGACATAGTAAGAGTAGACATATTGATGCAAACAGAAGACAATATTTTAGGAGAAGAACCTCATACCAACTGTTAAGCATGGTGGTGGAAATGTTGTAGTTTGGGTTTGCTATGCTGCTTAAGGGTCTGGTCAGCTTGCAGTCATTGAAGTAATTTCTGCTAAAGGGGGCAATACCAGCTTCTGATGCTAAGGGTCTATGTAATTTTTCTACAGTACATCATTACATCTATTAATATTTTTGTTAAATGATTGATTTAAAATGTAAACGCACATTTTTATTCAAGTATATCAAAATTAACAGTACGCACTGTTTTAATTAAGATCCATTGTTTGCCTGTTCAAACAGTCAATGTTTTCCATGGTGTATACTTTTTCACATGACATGTTGTTGTATCACACAGATTCTCTGGGATTACCAAAAAGATGCTTCTCCCAGTGAAAACAAAGTTAAAGGATGTCCAGGAAAAATTTAAAGAACTTCTACCCCCAGATGCTGTATTGGTGGGTCACTCCTTAAACAATGATCTCCGAGCTTTGCAGGTAAACAGTTACTGGAGCAGTATATATGTGTGTGTATATATATATA